TATCTATAAATGCATTGCTCTGTAAAACCTGTGTGAATTTCCTGCAGCATCACAGCATACTTCACTGCTTCAGTGTATAGCTTTCACAAATAGCACCAGAACTGCTTCAATAAACTTGAAGAAACAAAAATTAAGCATGATATCTGCTGTCCAGAGTGTCTCAGTGAGGAATCAGTTTCTGATTCCTTGTGAGTGATTTGGAGCTCAGTGTTTTGATGTTATCAGGACGTGTGTGTGTGAAGACAGACAGGTGTAGGTCTGTTCTGTCAGATAAAGAGCGCTGGCGATATCATGAACATATGGCCGGACTCGTCTGATGATCCGGTCAGGCTGATAACAGACTAGCAATCTTACAACAGCTATCCATCAAATGAAGGCATCACCGCAGTCAAGCAGATCCACAGGAGAGCTGAGACTGAGATTACGACGCTGTTTGCTTTTCTCAAGATGTTTCTGTCATTAATGTTTTACACACTGAATCAGTAATAGACCTGATGTGGGAATTAATCAAGTTTCATACTGTATATTAAGGTGTTATAATATGTATTCGTGCAGCCTTATTGCTCGCATGTTAAATCTAAACGTTTTTTGAGAGTCACTCAAATATGAAATATCCTTCTGTATAATTTGTGTAAATGAAAATGGTTAAGCCTGACATACTGTATGAAATAATAGTCAGGAAAAAAATTTTTTTTTAGAAAGTTTATTGAACAAAATATTTTAAAAAGTGCATGTGTTTTTTATTTTATTTTTGAGTATCATATTTGATATATCAGGCTTTTATGGCTCATATAGTATGATATAGTGAAAATATAGAGGAAAAACAGCTCAGTTTCATTCAAAGGCCCAAACTGTGCAAAAATATACAATTTGGTTCAGATGCTGATATTTATATGAACAAAAATTAAGGTGAAATGCTGATAGCTTTAAATGTAAATCAATGAGACCTTTATAACAGTACAGCAGATACTTACATAAAATGATAGAAATATCAGTCGTCACTCTCCATATTATCTCTTATAATAACGTTGTTGTACGATTTAATGCTTGGTTTGATCAAAACATACAATGCAATTCAATACAATGATGACTGAGAGATGAACAAATAAACATTCCTCAAAAGCCTGATGATCATATTTGAACATTATTTTTTAAATTTTTTTATTATGTCTGAATAATTAAATAAAGCAAAGCTACTTCAGTCCATTAAGTGTTAACCGTGAAACAATGCTAAAAATATCAAAGTTATTCTTAAGTTTACTTTATAAAAATCAGTAAAGGTCTGACAGCAGAAAGACACACGAAGCACGCGCTGAAGGTGAACGTTTATACAATTACACTAAAAGACCTTTTACTTGCTAAAAAAAGTCTAAACTATCAATCAGACGACAGAAGACATGGAGGAGATTGTGTGCGACAGGTTTATCAGCAAAGTTTTGATCATGTTGATTATTTAGAGGCCTTAGAAATTTGTGTATCAAATATGATACAGCAGGGTTATGGGGTTAAATACACACTACAGCTGTTCGTTCTAAATCCAACTGACAGCTTTAGAATGCTGGAGTTTGTCTGAATTGGCCTTTAGACATTCAGATGGAAACTGTCTATCATGTTTCTCATGGTTTTAATTATAAACAAATCCTTAACAGCAAGAGTGAGAGAGTGAGAATATGCGAATGGAAATCTGAACGCAGTCCTTGGGCTCCATGGCAACGTAAGGTTCTAATTCAGTTTCCCTTTGTTGTGCATCTGGCTGAATAGAACTTAGAAATATGGTTCTGAAAAGAGCCGTGACAACAAAAGGAAATTAATTTTAATAAAGCCCAACCTCTCTTTGAAAAAGCCCATTGAGACAGACACAACCTGACTCTCAGTGGTCTGATGTACTAATGGTGCATTATCTTCACAGAATGCAGCAGGTTGTTGAAGCCACATTCAAACTCCATGACGCTGGAATGAAAGGAGAACTGGATTTCTGTGGCTTTTGTTTCTGTAATGGAGAGCCACATGTGGGACACACAGAGACAAATGAACACGCAATAACAGAAAACCCTCAGAAAACAGAACCACTGAACAAAGGAAGACGATTTACCACGTCTCACAATAATGAGGCTTTTTGGACTTAATATATTATAAACTTTGTCCTGTTTTGCTCAGTGGTTTTGTCCTCTCTGTGAACCCTACAAATGTAGCACAATGATGGTGGTGCAGTTTATGAAACCAAAGATTAAAATGTATGTGACACAATTTACTGGCTTTTTTTCTTTTTTACTCCAGTAGATATTTCTAATGGTGGGTTTATTTTTGAAAATCCATTTTGGTAAAGACACAAATATGAAAAGTCTTCCAGGAACAAATGTATTGAGTACATTAAATGCAGTAGAGGGTCATATTGTTGCACTACATGGGGCAAGTTGTCACAATCTGTCAATAAACAGCCTGCTAAAAGCTTTTCATCAAAATGTAAACACTTCTTATCATTATGACAATTATAAAAGTCAAAACAATTCATGAACCAGTAAAAAGGTAACAAATAAGTGTTTAAAAAAAATAATAAAATAAAATAAAAAAATGTAAAAATGGCCAACAAATATTTTTTTTAAAACAATGTACAATTTTAAACTATTTCAATGGTTGTGACAACCTGAGAATTAAGAAAAAATCCCATGTTCTGACGAAGTCAAACCTCAGTTCAAATCTACTTTCATTACAATTGACTCGTTCGTGTTATTTTCTTGTGTTCACTTACTTCTATGGTGTTACCCAGCCACCAAAATTCACCAAAATCATTCTAAGACTATTTTGAATGCCTGATTGTAACCAACATATAAAACCTCTGCTAGAGAAAACAATCACTTCAGCTATTGTGACAACCCTATAATAACCTGATATTTGGTTAAAAGACCATTCTGAAAGTAAAATATAGAATCAGGCAACAAAATCAAGCATTTTAACATTCAAACACTGTTTTTTAAATCATGTGACTCGTTTATAACTGCAGAATGATTATTATTTTCACATGGAACAGGAATAATCACTCTCACCTCAGGCAGCAATAATCAATTAAAATATTCATGGCAGGACTGACTGCAGCATGAAAATTATTTCTGCACATTTTAGTAGCTTTATTTATAAAAATGGGTGTGAGTGTGTAGTTTTAGCTGTCTCACCTCACACACACACACACACACACCTCATTGTGTCACTGATTGGTACTTTTTTTTTAATTAGTCACGACAGACACAAGTGTGTTTGGCCTTGAATTATTCAGTAGATTAACATATATTCTCTAGACTGTAATATTTAGCAATCCATTTTCATTTGCAATAGAGTTTTTCAGAGAACAGTCTGGATTTAAACAGAAGCCTCAAGGCAAACAACATACGCTTACAACAATACACACAGTGCCTGAGACTGGAAAACAGGCAGGAATCTTTCTTTTAAATACGAGACATTGTGTAAACCACACTCTCTCTACATTTCTTTCTCAGACGGGTTCAGTATTGACAGTGGACTACATGTGCTGCATAACGTTTTCTTTACCAAAGTAAAAGGGGTCTGATGTGGCCAGTAACCCAGACAACAAAAACATGTTCTAAGAACGTTTTGCGAATGTTCCCGGTAAGCTTTTTTTTTGTGAACGTTAGGGGAAACATTACACTGATATCTCTGTTCAGGTCATTAATGGCAGTCTGTGTGGATATGAGTGTGTGATTGTCAACATGAAATATTCCTCTGTCCAGAAACAGTGACTATTAGCTTTTATTGTATCCTCAAATGATCTCTTAATTAAAAATGCTATCATCTGAATACTTACTTGCCTAATGACCCAGTTCAGATACTTTATTAGTCCAGTGGAAATAGGAGAGTATTATCCACTCATATTAATAATACAGAATACATCATACTAATCACATTAAGACAGTTATATTCAAGATTGGATTATTAGACGTCAATGAAGAGAATTTTTAGATGACAAATCTCACATTTGTTTAGCTTAAATATTTGTCCATTTGAATCACTATTAGAGAAAGGCGTATATAAATTAGCATCATAGTGCTTGAATGAGTGTGCTTTAGACTTTATGGTTAAACACAAACACAGATGATATTCTGGTTAATGGGTCATTTAATAGTTGTCAAAGAACAAGCTCTTCTCAGGCGCCTGTAAAGTGCTCTCATGAAACTAACCTAAAAATTATCCAATTTGTGAAGCAGCAGTAAAAACAAAACACTTTTTTTGCAGATTACTTCACCTTCTTTTTCCGCAGAGATGTTTAAAAGCACTTTAAGAGTAAATAACTACGACTAAACCACAACCAGCAATGAAAACGGGTTCAAACCCTTTCCTGAACACTCAGAAGTGAACCTATAAACTCAAACTGTTCCGTGAATGCAGGAATCTGATCCACTTTCATTGAATGCACCTGACATGCCTGGGATTGGCAGAAAAGAGCGGAGCGTCCTCTGAAATCCGCTGTGGATGCTGACGTGGAGCGGGGGGAGATTCTGTGGGTGTGTTGTGTTATCGAGAGAGATTGATTGAAGTGCTATAGTTCATTGTGATGAGTAAATTGTGTGCTTTTTCCTCTTTCGTGTGTTTTCCCTTTATAGGTGCAAAACTTTATTTTTTTCCCCCTTACCTTTTGTATCTTGTCCCCGTTATATTTTTCCCCAGTGTATTTTATTTTTATTTTCATTATTGGGCCAGTGTGTTGCACCCCTTTACTGTAAAGACTGTAAATATTTAACTTTCCCTTCACAGCTGAAGCAGTAGGGGTTGGGTGCCACTTATTTTCTTTTTCTCCTGTTTTTCATGTAGTTAGGGAGTTAGGTAAGATCACTGTATTTTTATTTTCTTTCTTTTGTCAGGTTTATTTAATTGCAACTGGATTTAGTCAGTGTCAATTTTTTTTTTGTTTTTATCTAAGCAAACCCCAAAGTTTGAAAGGAAAAAAAAAAAGAGGAAAAATAAAAGGAATAAGGAAACGTGCAAACAGGTGTTCTGAGATTTTTATTTATGTTATCTCCCTGACCCTAGACCAGAACCGTAACAATATCTGTAGTCATGGGCTTTAAATGGTGTCATACTCAGCACTTTCTCTTTAGTTTTTTCACTGTGGAGAAATGATCTGTTGGACATGAGGGTGTCACCTGTTTTATTCAGTTGCATGTGTGTTTCTGACAGTGAAACAGAAACTTCGGCTGAACACAAGATATTTTGATAAACGTTGGTAACCAAACAGTTTTAGTTACCATTTACTTACATTGTAGGAACAAAGACTTTTGTCCACTTAAAAGAAAATGCATTTCTTTTGTGTCCTGCAGAAGAAAGAAAGTCATTCAGGTGTGAAATTACATGAGGGTGAGCAAATGACAGAATTTAGATCTTTTAAAGAAGACCTACTCAGTGAGATTGATAAGCAGATTAACTACATAAATTAATTGTTTCCTCCATATCCTACAGCCCTATTACAGACTCTTCTAAGTAACATTTCACTCCACTGTATATCTGTAGATGGTTAGACTGAAATACATATACAAACACATACAGGATGAGATGAATCTTACTCAAAAGTTTATTTAGTGTGCAGTTTGGATCGTTCAGTAGAGTTTGTTCAGTGCGTAGTTTGGATCGTTCAGTAGATCAGAGAGCATCTTGACTCCTGATTCTCCTGAGTCATTGTAGCTCAGATCCAGCTCTCTCAGGTGTGAAGGGTTTGAACGCAGAGCTGAAGCCAGATAACGACAGCCTTCATCTCTCACCGCACACGACACTAATCTACAAACACACAGAAACAATAAAAACATCTGTGACATTAGAACTCATGACAAAAGCCTGTTAAATCTTTTGACCTGAATGAGGTACATTTAGATGCTAACTGCAGTTAATGTTTCAAATCAATTAAAGTTGTAGATTACGAGTAAAACATATGTTTGCTCCCTCAATCTTTATTTATTTAATTTATGTTTTCTATTCCTGTTTATTTTTTGGTCTTGTCATGTGAGGTTTAACACATTTGTATCCAATGCAGAAATATTAAGAGATAAAAGACAATCAGCTGAATCTGACAGCTAATCAATTTGATTGACAATTCATAGGTTTTTGATTCAATTCAGGAACAATTTTATCAAATTCAGAACAATTCCATTCAATGTGATTCAAATTGATTCTGTATCTTTTAAATGCATTCATAGTAGGGGTGAGCAATGTGACCAAAATCTCATTTCACAATTATTTTTTGCTGGAAATAACTGATAAGGATGTCAAATTCTTTCACTCAAGACTAGTGCTATTATGAGAGATCTGTCATCAGCTCATGGGATAATCAGTGACCGTCCCGAGGACAGATCAAATATGAGGTGCTCAGAAGATGCTGTGGGATTACAAATTTAAGAAACTGCTTAAGATCTGCTGATCCTGTGTAATGACAAAAGATCACCTGAAAAACTTAAGTCATGTACATGGTATTTGGCATTTAAAGTGAAGATGATGACGTCAATGGATTATTGTTATGCAAAGGTTCTAGTAGGTTGAGTCAAACAAGCAAAATAACTGAGACAATCACTGTTTGTCTAATGACTCTTCGTGCTCCGCTCCATTTGCCCATTCTTTGTGCTCATTGTTAGTGATCATCAATACTTAAGGTATGGACATTTCTTTATCTCTATGATAATATAATTCGAGAGTCGCTGATTGAATTAGGGCTGGTGACATTCCAGAGTCTGATGCGGATGATATAACTGCTTACTCCATTTGCATGCTTTAAGGTTGTCACCCAGGAGCTTTGTCTGCTCTGAGCTGTGCCTCCTAAAATGTGTATAAAACTACAATGTTTCACTGATTTAGTCAGACTCGGGAGGCCATAGTTCCGGAAGACCTGAGTGAATAGGCATTCAGCTGTTTCAAATGCTGTTGGTAGACCCTTGAGAGGGATGAACTTACAGGCCTTGGAGAAGCGATCAACCACAATAAGGATACAGGTGTTACCATTCGAGGCAGGGAGGTCAGTGACGAAATCCACTCCAATGTGGGACCAGGGTCTACGGGGCACAGGCAGTGGGACGAGCTTGCCTACGGGGAGATGACGTGGGGTTTTAGACATGGCACAGACTTAACAGCTTTGGACGTACCTGTTGACATCCCGGGCCATACTGGGCCACCAGTACCAAACTCTTCACAAACCGTCGATAGAAGTTCGCGAATCCCCGGAATCTTTGTAACTCCTTCACCGTCTGTGGAAGTGGCCATTCCCTGATGGCCTTAACCTTCTCCTGGTCCATCTGGATACCTTCCTTCCTGATGACATATCCGAGGAACTGGACCGAGGAGCGATGGAATTCGCACTTCTCCAATTTCAGATACAGCTGGTGTTGACGTAGCTTCTGAAGGACCTGCGTGACGTGGTGAACAGCTGGTGTTGACGGAGCTTCTGAAGGACCTGCGTGACGTGGTGGTGATGTTCGGCCAGGTTCTGGGAGTAGATGAGAATATCATCTATGTAGACAATCACGAACTTATTGAGGAACTCCCGGAACACCTCGTTCATGAAGCTTTGGAAGACGGACGGGGAGTTTGACAGGCCATACGGCATGACCCGATATTCACAGTGGCCTGCGGGGGTAATGAACGCCGTCTTCCACTCGTCGCCCTCCCTGATTCGAACGAGGTTGTACGCGCTCCGCAGGTCAAGTTTGGTGAAGACGCGAGCTCCCCAGAGTTCCTCCAGGGCG